TCTGCACACTTTGTTAACCCTAGCTACGTAATGAACATGTATGTGAATGAATAATTCTGTGAGTTCTAATTATGTGCCTGGCATAGTGCTTGGTTTACAGATGCAAAGTTGAGTAAGAGTAAGCCTTACTTTCCAAGATTGCAACAGTGTAGTGAGGAAGATAGATCAGATCGGTAGATCCAGGAAGGAAGTGAGTGTGTTTGTCTAAGTTTCCCAGAAGCCCACTAAGCCATGGGATTTGAGAACAACTTCATCTGTAAGGGCTCTCCAGAGACACTGGGGGAGGGTAGGGTGTGACCCAGGTGGTTCCTAGAGGCAACTGAAGCTTAGTCCTGCATGCAGCTGGCGTTTGGCTGAGGCTGTGGGTGGTCAGAGCTGTGGGTGGTTGTGAGAGAATAACCTGAGAGCCTCTCAGGCTTACTCTGCAGAAATAAGCCTTACTCTCCAGGCTGATTCTCCACAGTAGAACCCAAGCAGGCTCAGGTGTCCACAGGCGTGCAGAGCTGGATGCTCAGGGTCTGTAGGTGGGGCACAGACAATGTCTGCCCAGATTGCACATTCTGGGGAGACTGAGGTCAGCCCTGAAGCCGAGTTTTGGGGATGAACAGAACAGAGAGGTGATCCCTGCCCTCTCAGACTCACAGTCAGGTAGTGAGCACTGGAAAGAAAATGATAGCAGGAGGGAGGTGGATATGGATGGAGTGAAGAAAATGGACTAATGGAAAGACCACTCTGGACCAGTGTCCTTGAACAGGGAATCAAAGAACATTCCAGAAAAGGAAAGGTCCACGGCAGGAAGAAAATGCTGAAGTGCAGGGTGGCTGGAATGGCTGGGGTGAGATAAAGAGAATGGTAGGAATTATACAGAAAGATAGTAGGGAGCTACAGTCTCCTCCCCACCACCCCTTAAGGGACCCACCCTTTTCTGGGGCAAAGGGGAAGCCAGTACAACCAGGATAGGACCAGGCTCCCACTGTGCCTTAGCAGCATTTTGCCAATAGACAGTCTGCAGGGCAGGGATGGTCGTGGGAAGACCAGCCAGGCAGTGGCTCAGAGGTGGAGCCCTGGGAGGAAGCATACTGTGGATGGAACTTGAAAGTAAATCAAGCGAGACCTAGAGTAGTGATTGTAAGAGACATCAAATAAACACACCCATAAGTAAAGATGCTCTGATTCGCACTTGCTGTTGAGGAAAAGCCTGAGATGCCACGCGGGGAAGTGACAGCCCATCTCCAAGTAGAGTGAGCTGGGCTCTGAAGGCAGGAGAAAAGGCACCCAGGGGAGGAACAGGGAGAAGCATCAGACCAAGGAGAGCTGCGATCATTGGCTCAAGGGGGAATAGCCCATGGACTGGAGGTCAAGACCATCCACAGCCTCTGGTCCCCACCCCTGGCCTGTTACCCATCTAGACATCCTTTGTGACAGTCCCAGCCTGCTCCCATGCCAGTGACACAGCCAGATGCCCAGTGACTGTCTTCTCCAATCCCAGTATTTGTTATCCGGACTGATGATAATGACTCTGTGTCCTTCAGCAGCAAGGCCTGCAGGTGGCAGTGTGGAATGGCTCAGAGTGTTGGTAAAGAAACTTTAGGGAATGCTACTCGATGGGACAGCTGTGCAGAGACACCTGTCTCTGTTCTTACCTGGGGCTGGCTCAGGCAGGGATAAAACCCATCCTCAGCCTCCGGATCACGTCACTGAGTAGGCAGCCCTCTGGCCTCGAGTGCAGCTGTGTGGCCATCCTGGCTTGCTCTGGACTCAATGTACTGGCCTCTGTCCTTCCCAACTGCCCTGCAGTGCCTCCCTCTGTGCTGCTGCAGCACCTGAGAATGGGAATCTTCTTCTTGATGTTCTTCCAAAGTTCATGTCAATTTCAGACCAGACTCCAGCTGGGCTCAGAAGTACTGAATGCAAAAAAAAAAAAAAAAAAAAATTTTGTCTTCATATCCTTTCAGCCTGTGTGTAGTAGCTTGTCTCTATAGCAAGGCTAAAGTCATAGCACAAAATATATTAAATGTTTTGACCCACAAATGAGAGCAATGCATCCTGGATAGTTTATATCCTCAGTGTCTGTCCCAGAAGGCCATCGGCTGCATCTCGATCTGCAGTGTTGAGGGCCAAGGGAGGAAGGAAGCCTGGCTGTTTAAGAAGGCCTACTGGTCAGGCACTGCAGGTGAGACCACACGCTGTAGGACAGACGGGGTGTTCATCACAAGTAGTGTAAATGGCAACTTCTCCAGGTATAATGCTTTTCAGCTGTGGCAAGCTGCTCAGCTCCACTGGTCAGTAATGTCTGAGTTTTGTTTTAGTTTTGGAGTTTTTGTTTGTTTTGTTTTTGGATATTCTTGTGAAGTGCCTGATAAAATAAAATTGCTCTTTGTGCCTCTTCATGAAAATTTTTTCTAAATCAGAAAAGAGATTCATAGTTTATATTCTCATCTCAAGCTTGGACTTCCTGATAACTCTTTAGAATTTAGACACAGATTAGAAAGTTTCCCAACTTGGAATTGCTCCCAGGCAGGGCTGGGCCCACAGCTGAGGGATCCTAATGGAACCTGATTGACTGACTGGCTCCTTCTCACAAATCTGCCTTAAAATTCCTTTCACCCTCTTCTGAAGGAGGAGACGACTCTGTGCCACGGCAATTCATGTTTGTCTCCATGGACCTTCAGCGTTTGCAATGGCCCCAAGTTCATATGGGTCTTACCATGCAGTGCCAATAATGGTGGAACATGTGGGGGCTCAGAAAGTGATACCCCAAAACATACTATATCAAACCGCTGACTGAGAGCACTTGGAGAGCAGCCTAAAGACCAGATCTGCCAAAGAACACAGTTGGCTTCAACTGTTAATCATATCCACTCACCAATGAAGGTTAAATTCACATCACAGAGAAAACAGCTTCAAACAGCACACGCAAAGCTACTGTCTGTGCTCCAAGTTGTTTCTCTTCCTTGAAAATCATTTACTGTAAAACCCCGTTGCCTGCCCTTTCCATTCTCTTGTAAGGGGCATATTTAAGCCTCATTTGCCTGCTTCTCCTTGCATTTTGTGTTTTGTGTAGCCTCTGTGTACACGTGCACTTTAGGTGAATGTTTGTACTTTCTCTTCTGCTCCTCTGTCACCAGTGTGATGCAGCAGAATCAGTCACCCAGCCTTCAGAGGGAAAATATGAATTTCTCAACAAGCACAGCCATGGTCAGAACTTTTAGCCCTGAACACAAATGCCAAACCATCTTTCCCCCATGTCTTGATGTCTCCGCTGCAGTGGGTGTGCTCAGCTCATAAGGGCATCTAATCAAGCCCTGAGAGTTGATCCTACTTGAATGAGTTATTTTGTCAGAGGAAAGCAAGTATTACCCATCAGCACAACATCTGACAGGCATATCTGGGTTTCATTTCTTTGTTAGTTCACCTGAAACGCTGAGTGCATATCCTGTGCGAAGGACTTTGCTAAGATTGGAAATCCAGAGATAGCTAATAGGGGTTCATTCTGGAAAGAAAAGTCTTCCCAGTAAAACCCAGTATGCACTGGCTTGTTTGGTAAGTAAGGGGTGAAGGCTATCAGTGCTTCAAGAAGAAGCATAAGCAGGGCATGGTGCCACACACCTGTAATTCCAGCAGTTGGGAGGCTGAGGCAAGAGGATTGTTGTGAGTTAGAGACCAGCCTGGGGTACAAAGTGAGCTCAAAGCAAGGCCAACCTGAACTGCATAGCAAACTGCATCTCAAAAAGACAAAAAAAAAAAAAAAAACCCCGCAAACATAAAAAGGAGCATAGATGATTGCTCAGAAGCCTTGTCTGTTGCTAAAGCTGCAAATCTTACATTTTCCCCCAGAACAAAGAACCAACCCACCAGTGCTTTGGTCCATGGTGAAGCCCCTGAAGCGCCTTCCTTACCTCCTTCCCATCTTCTCAGCCATTTAATCTGTTGCCTTATGTGGTGTCTGGTAACTGCTTGAGGCTGAAAAGCCACGCACCAGTGAGGTCTGCTGCACTGGGGAGGAGGGCGCCTCTCTCATGAAGAATGGAACCTAAGCAAGAGTCCTCTCCTCTGGCGCAGCGCTGTGGCTGTGAGGGTTCAGCCAGCTCCAGGTCCTGGCTCTGTCGGCACCTGATGTGTCCTGCAGCCAGCTGCCTCATGGCAGGCAGATACTAAGAATGCAGAGCGTGGTGGTGGGAGGGATTCTGCACCTGCTCCAGCTTCTGTTTCTCCAGGGGCTTCCTTCACGATTGTTGAGGTGTTCTTCCCCCATGGGATCCTATTTACCTCCCCTTTTCTGCTGTGCCTTCTGGCATATCCTCATGGACTGGGAGGACTATGACTCAGATTCCCCATGGGTCATGAGAGTGCGGCTCCATCCAGGGCCATTGTGTGGCATGAGTCTAGTGTATGAAAACTACTTTTGGAAAGCTGAAGCATTACTTACCAGGTGTTCCTCAGGTGTGAAGGGCGTGTGTATTTCAGGTACACCAGATTCCCTTGCACATTACCATTTTTTTCATGAGTTCAACTCCTGACTCAACCTGTGCTTCCTACTGTGCCATTGAAAGTAGCAGTAAGTCATCCTGACACTTGCCACTTAGGTGTATCTCCTTCAGGACACATTCTTGTCTCTTTTCACCTAGGCACAAATTTCTTTATGCTGGATTATTAAATTTTAAAATCTACAGATGAAAAAAATCTAGACACAGTTTATTCTTTATTGTGTTAAATGGTCTCACGGCATTATTTTCCCCAAGAAGTCTACTCTGTGTCCCAGAATTAGAATTGGCCTGTCCTGGGCAGATTCCAAGGGTTTACGTCTTGCTTACCTGTGTAGAGCTGTCTCAGTACAGGGAAGGGCAAGTGTAAGTGTCCGCCACTTTGCAAGCCTTCCCCATCAGGTAAAAGCACAGCCACTGATGTACAAACACATGAATGCTGAGCTCTCAGATACTTTCCTCGCCCCATCTTGGAAAATTGACCTGTGGCTTTTCTTGTTTGTGCTTATTGTTTAGAAAGCCAAGCTTGGCCCTGCTGGTAACAAAGTAATTAGTCCTTCAGAAGACAGAAAACAGCCCTCCAATAACCTTGACAGAGTGAAGCTCACAGACTTCAATTTCCTCATGGTGCTGGGGAAGGGGAGTTTTGGGAAGGTAAGAAGTGGAGGGGTGAAGGCAGACAATGTCGGACTGGTTGTGTTCTCACTGAAATTTCCAAAGCAGCCCTTTATATTTTCATGCTATTTGTACACAGTCTGCAGATGCCTCCTACCTCATGTCCTTTAAAACATCTGCATCCAAAAGCTGGAGCAGGTTCACAGGTGCCACCATTTGCCAAGTTTCAAAACAGGAGATGCTCCAGAATGTTAGTTGAGTGAACCAACATGCATGTAATCACATGTAATACTCAAGAGATTCCTCAGTGCAACCATGTAGCCATCACCTGTGCATCTTCATTTGCCTTCTTTGGCCCCAGATACTAAGATAGAGCCATGGACAAATTTCCATCCCATCTTTTGCTTTGTCTGGACTCAAGAAGTTATAAGGATCACTTACATTTTACCTTGAAGAGACTCCCAGAAAAGCATGCATAATTCCAGAGTAATCCCAGTAAAGAATGTTTAGTGTTCCTTTTAGCAGCCAAAATACCATCATCATGTAGAAATATACCATACAGTGTACAAATTTCAACAGTTTAAGAAGTTAAAGGCTAGAGGAATTTAAGTTATGGCGCTATGCAATATTTCAATATTTGTACATAAATTTTGTGTTAGCATTCCATCACTGTAACAAAATATCTGAAGCAACTGTCTTATAAAGAGTAAAATTTTATTTTGGCCCATGACTTTGATGGTTGAAGTCTATGACTGAGTGATCCCCTGCTTTGGGCCTCTAGCAAGACAGAAATGTGTATTAGAGCAAACTGCTCTTCTTGTCAGCCAAGAAGCAAAGAAACAAGAAGAAGAGACCAGAATCACACAGTCCTTGGGGCAGGGCACAACCACAGTTATCTAAGGACTCCACAGGACCCACCCCTGAAAAGACTTTACTGCCTCCTAGTAGCACTACCTTGGGGACCAAGCACTTAACACATAGACCCTCAGGAGGACACTATCCATAGCAAAGTCTATTAGTACTTTTCTGTCACATACTTATGGATTTGCATGAACTGTTGCTGGGCCATCATCACCTGGCCTGTTTCCTCTTCTATCCCCAACCTGAACCCCCAGGAACAGATTCTGCTTGGAAATGTCCAGCTTGTTCTTGGTCTGTTCCCAGGTGATGCTGGCCGATAGGAAAGGAACAGAAGAACTGTACGCAATCAAGATCCTGAAGAAGGACGTGGTGATTCAGGATGATGATGTGGAGTGCACCATGGTGGAAAAGCGGGTCCTGGCCCTGCTCGATAAGCCCCCGTTTCTGACACAGCTGCACTCCTGCTTCCAGACCGTGGTGAGGACGCTGGGGCCGTACGCATGGCACAGCACCCAGCATGCCCTTAGGGCTGTGCCTGGACCGAAGCTTCCCAGCATCCCTGAGGACAGGTGGAAAGGGATGTCAAGCAGAGGCAATAAGAACAGTGATCCCTCCTGATCGCTGTAGACTTGGGGCATATGTTCTCTGTGATGTCTCCTATGGTTAGAGGTTTAATATTCATTCCACTTAATTCACCAAACACAGTTGGCGTTCTATATCCTTGATTCTGTGTTCACAGATTTCACTACCCATGCATTGAAAAAAAATTAATCACATCTATACTGAACATCATTTTCTTGTCACTGTTGTGTAAACAATGCAATATCCCACCTATTTGCATAGCTTTAACATTGTGTTAGGTATCATAAGTAATCTGGAAATGATTTTAAAAATATGGGAGGATTTCCCAGACCGCATGCAAATAGTGCAACACTCTTTGTCAGGGACTTGAGCATCTGAGGATTTGGGGATCCCAGAGTAGTGCTAGAACCCGTTTCTCTACAAGACCTAAGGGTGACTATATCTGAAAGGTCTTCTTTATGCCAGGCACAGTGCTGTACAAAAATAGTAAAATAATTCAACGTCCTGACTTTTTAAGACCATTGGTCCAACTGCCAACCATGACATTAGAACATTAAAAGACTCCATTTCATAAAACAGCATGTTCTTGTTTAATGACACACATCAGGAGTGGCAAACCATGACCTGTTTTGCACAGCCGTGAGCTCCAAGAAAGGTCGCAAAGAAGAAATCCAAACAATATTTCATGACATGTGAAAATTTAATGAAATCACATTTCTGCATAGATAAATAGTTCTCTAAGGAAACAGTCATGCCTTTCACCTACCTGTCACCTATGGCTACTTCCATGCTACAAAGAAGTGACAGTTGCAAGACTCACAAAGTGTAAAATATTTACTGTTTGACTCCTTATAGAAAAGGTTTGCTAATCCCGGGCACAGGGTAACCGTCTAAACACATTACAAAAAATACCAAATCACCAATCCACCAGCAGTGGGGTTTACAATATTCTACAAGAAATCTAGATGTTTAGATGGCAGCAGAGTGAAGCGGTCCCTGATGGGCTTTTCCCTCCTAGAAGCTGACCCTTTACACACGGCTTAGTAATCTAGCTGCAGTGTTACTGTGAGGATGATTACCACTTTAAACTGGCTCGAGGTCAGAAATTGACTTTATGTTTTATGTCTCCTTTTCAAATCCCTTGGGAGGCGCTCACCAAGCTTTTGAGGGTACAATCCCCAGATGGCAGGGCAGCCACGCGTAGCACCAGGATCCGCAGGGAAGCTGCAGAGCCAGGGCCCACTGCTTTGCATAGCTTTAACACCCTGGCCACTGGGTCACTTGTGTCTGCTCTCAGCGGCTCCCAGACTCTGGACACAGCAGTGCCAGGAAGACTTGAGCAGCGAGATAGGAAAGGAGAGCCACACCTCCAAAATGCAGAATCTTTAAGCCCTGGAAAGTATGTGCAGCGAAGAGACAAAGATGGAATTAAAGTTCATAACAGAGAAGCTGGAGAGGGAGCTCCCAAAGCTATTTTTAGCTGTTAGTCCAGCTTCCCCTCTCTCCCTCCCTCCCTTCTCCTCCCTCTCCCTCTTTCCCTATGCAACACTTTAATAACCTCTGTGAAATGGGGATGTTTTCTACAAGAGAACAGAGATCAGTTTTTACCATGGTGTACTGTGTTGTTATTTTACTGGTAAATTCTTCGATCTCCCATCTATCCCAACATAATGCCTGTGTAAATATTTAGACTTACATGGTTCTTTGATATATGCCCTTTGTGGGGCCGACACTTAGCATATAGTGAGAGAGAAAATAAAAAAGGTATTTGGGCACATTATGACCGCAAAAGAACATTTGATTAGCCTCTCTGTTCCTGGTCTTCCCTTTCTCCCTCCCAGGATATATCCTTAAGCATGTACAATTTATAAGGCCAGTGTAACCCAAGAGATGTGTTTTCAGAGGCTTTCATTTAAACCAGGTGCTACATCATGACAGCAGTGCCTCGTAGACATTGCAAGTCATCTTTTATGCAATCGCACCATCAAGAAAAACTGGTTAAAATGAAATGACTGGCCCATGGGGATTTTCACTCTTTCCCTGGCTTAGAAACATATGTATAGGGGGGAAAAAAAGAATAATATTAAGACCATCAGTGTAATAGGAAGCATGTGTAACCAGGAGGCAGGCATGTTGACAGAGAGCCATCAGTTCCATTGCGTAGTGACCCTCATGTGGTAAGGTGTATCACTTTTTCTTTCACTGGGAAAAATGGTGAAGAGATGCAGACTAAGCAGAACTGGGAAGGCAGCCTATGAAAGCAGAGCAGAGGGGCCGTGCCAAGGAGGAACCTCACTCACATGTGCACCTTGGTCTGCAGGATCGGCTTTACTTTGTCATGGAATACGTCAACGGTGGGGACCTCATGTACCACATTCAGCAAGTAGGGAAATTTAAGGAGCCACAAGCAGTGTAAGTATTTTTTTAGTCCTATAAATCAGACAACCCTAAGCTCTCATCTGGGAACTTCTGTTGAATAAGATGTTCTTGAGTGGTTCTGCTCTTTTGAGGTTCAGTGCTATGACTTCCCAGGGGACAGATGTATTAACAGACCCATCCAGATGTTTTCTAAGGAGCAGTTTGTTCCATTTCCAGTAAATAGGAAATGTGGGGTATCCCTGCATCATGTGAATGGAGTCATTTACCCACTCACTGAGCACAGAGATACTGACACCCACGGTGCACAGGCGCTGGGAATGCAGAGTGGTGAGATGCACCCCTAATCTCACACGCTAACCTGGCATTGGAGAAGTCACTTGACTCAGTGCTTGCCTTTGGGAGGTGTGCACAGGGAACCATACCAGAAGTCCAGAATTGGGGAGTGACAGCAGCATGCCCTGAGGGAATGCACAATCCAGAGATGGAGAAGCAACCTTCCAAAGAGAGGTTGTGAGCAGCGGCAGCACTGATCCAGGGTGTGGCCTGTGGCTCCTTGTGTGCAGGAGGCAGTGTGAGCTGGGGAGGAGTTGGCAGGGGCGACAGATGCACAGGAGACAGCTGAGGAAGAGGCATCAGAAAGGGCCCAGTCGGTCTGATGCCACCAAAACCAATTCTTACAGAGCCCTGTCACTGAGAAAGACAGGATTGCAGGAAGGTAGGGGATCGGTGAGGATCTTTTTATGGCTGAAGTACTGGGGCTAGAATCAGAGCTTCAGCTTGGAGCCAAAGAGAAACAAGTGTCCTTGACAAACGTTCTGGAGGGATGAAAGCAGAGCTGGGTGATGACAGTGAAGACAGGAAACTCTGCCTTTACATGATGCCTGTGTTAGATCTGGGTGAAGGGGGAGGGCGACCTCAGCTTGGACTGTTTCAGGGGGATGTGCCTTGGATGTGGGCGTCCCGCAGTGGAAACACAGGCGGGCTCCAGGTAAGGCGGAGGAGTCGTGTGTGGGGGTGGGAAGGGGACCTTGCTACCTGAGACAACATCCTGCATCTCATGCCCCTGAGGAGTCTTAGAGAACTCAGTAGAAGCAAGCTTGAGCAGATGGGTGTTTTGCTTCCCCCAAAATGTGCATGGGTGCACACCCTAGTTAGCCATTAATAATCATTAATAAGACTTAATCATTATGAAGATTTTTGGAATGTCCAATGTCAAACAGCAATCAGAAGAAATTTTTTTTTTATTTAAGAGGAAAAAGAGAAAAACACAAAACAAAACAAAGCAGTGTAAGGTTACACATAATACAGAACTACAAAAAAAAAAAAACATAACCAGAAGAAATTTTGACCTATGTGGGATTGTCTGCTTTACAGACTGTTAACTGAAGTCACGATGGGGGATTTGTTGGTGGTAAGCTTTAAAAATAATAAGGGAGATTTCTCTGCTTTTATTTTTACTAAAAAAAAGTATTGTTAGAAATGTTCTAGCCCCTGTCTTAAGAGATTGTGTGAGTAATAGCACTAAAACGTTCCAGTTGTGAAATAAAGCTTGATAGCACAGAGCTATAAAGAACAGGTAACAAAAAGCCACTTTATATTATAAAGCAACACCAAGTGTCTCATCCAATAAGCTTTCATTGTATGTGTGTGGTACAAAATTTTTAAAAACATACAGAAAAATATGAAAAACAATGGAACACCTCTTCCCCCTCCCCTATCTCACCCTTTCTATTAGTTTGCAGAGGTGGTACCTATTAAAAGCTCGGTCTTCATTGTCACGGAGTTCAATGCATGGTTATTTTAAGCCTCCTGGGTGTGATATTTGCCCAGGTGCACACTTGTGGCTTCTCGTACTTCAAAGACCTTAAATGCTGTGCAAACTTTAAAATGTCCTTCTGTATTTAATCTGAGTGTCAGATATTAACCTATTAGTGATTTTGAAATAATGGCAGTAACTGCCAGTAAATATTATGAATTGCTTAACAGGACAACCTCAGGTATGTATCAGCATATGTTCCATTTATTCCAGCACTTCAGAGAATGAGTAAACCAGATAAACAGTGCATCACACACTATACTTTGCCTTCCAGGGAGTAATTGTATTCTCAAAGAACAGTATGTTCAGTCCATGAATAGGGAAGTGCGCCGCGCGGCCTCTGAACCCCCGACCGGCAGGGGAACTGACTCACACGACACACCAGAATGCAGAGACAGAGGTCGCGTTTATTGACTCTCCACACAGGTCGTCCCCGGAACGTTCCTCCCTGATCGGACTCTCCAGTGGGGCTCTCTCTGTTGAGTAACCCCGCGTAGTCCTCCACTCTCTATGGTCTGCGTGTCTTCTCTTCCTCTCTACCTCCTGCTCTGTCCTTATATCTATAGTCCTGTCCTATAGGGTAACAAGGCGTGGCAAAGTCTGATTGGGGGACATCAGCTGTAGCTAGGCAGAAGCTGAGGGTAAGAATACGGAAGTAGGAAACGGGCGCCATCTTGGCATCATTCGATGGGAGGGGTAATCTACTGAAGGCTTCGCTCTTTCCTACAGGCCTCATCTGCTTAGGCAGGTCCTCTGGCTCGGCTCCCGACATCTCCCCCTTTTTTCTTTATTAAAGGCGGTGGATCTAAGGGTCCCTCCAAGGTATGATGTTGTTAGATACCTGGGAGTGGGCCTACTTTGTAGGCCACGGCATGAGAGAATGTAGAGGTCTATACCCCGCTGTGCATCACCTCATTTCGATGCATATCCTCGCGCTAGGACCATGCTTGAGGTGAGTGGTTCATTTTTTCGCAGGGCCAGGCTTTTGTGAACCGAACCTGGATGCATATAGACATTCATTCCTGCCTTCCCCCCAGCTTTGGGGCGGGTGGCACTGCAGTACCCTTGGTCTCGCATCTCAATGCCAACAACTTAGCTCCAGGAGAGGACCCTAATAGAGTGGGGTCTGTCTTAGGTTGGTCGGGAGAGCCCCTCCCGCCTTACCCGTCATTGACTCCATCACTCATCTCCTCGGGGAAGAAGGATGCCATCCAGAGGCACCTGTCTTTCTCGGTCCCCAACTGATGCTTTCCTCAGTAAACATGATCCAGTTGGGCAGCGAGGAAGCATTTGGGGGCTTAAAGGTGGAGAAAACCACCATATCATTAGAGAGGGGCACAGTGATATTGAACTCATGGGAAGTAATCGGGGCATCAGGAAGGCATGGCAATCTAGCTGTACAGTTGTGGGCATAGGTTCGCGGGAGGGTTGGAGATGTAACTGAAACAATGGACAGGGCTGGGGGATGTAGCCCCCCATACTATTTCAGCATAAGCACCGTTAATCAGCAGTAGTACCGCCAGGCATATTTTATGCCAGTTGACAGGGCGCGGTGCATGAGCAAACAAGAAGGCGCTCCGTCCCAGGCAGACCCCAAAGAGGAATACCAGAGTATACATTACCACACCCAGCAGTAGGTGGTTCGGTGCCTTGGCTAGGGTGTCATTGTTCTCCTTCTGCGTTGTCAAGTTGGTCCTTAGCATTATGGTCCCCTTCTCCTTTTTCTTCCTTTGTGGGGCTTGGAGTCTTTCTTATCAATCGCTCCGGTACCCACAGTGGTTCCTTTTCCTGTGGGGACACACAAACCGCGCCTCGGTTCCAGCTGACCACTGGATCCGGGCCCATCCACTGTCCCGTTAGGACATCCTTCCACTTTACCCATCCTTTGTTGGCGGGAGAAGGGCTACAATGCTCCATCGCCGGGGAGCGATCATTGCAGTTTTGATTCAAAAAATTATATGTAAACAGTGCCATGGATAGTCTTGCTTTTGGGGTCAGGCTGTGGCCTATTCCCCCTTTTTGTTTTGTTAAGATGTTTTTGAGGGTTTTATGGGCTCTCTCAATGATGCCCTGTCCTTGTGGGTTATAGGGGATTCCATGTTTTAACTGGACTTGCATGGTTTCACAAAATTTTGCAAAAGATTTCCCAGTGTATGCTGGGCCATTGTCTGTTTTGAGATGTCTGGGTTTTCCCCAGGCTGCCCATGCTGCCAGGCAGTGGTTAATCACATTAGACATCTTTTCCCCTGTTTCCGCTGACGCAAAGATTATATGAGAGCAGGTGTCTATGGAGACATGAACATACTTTAGAGAACCAAACTCTGCCACATGAGTGACATCCATCTGCCAAATGTCGCCGGGGGTCAACCCCCTAGGGTTAACTCCGACTGACACTACAGGCGAATGGGTGTCACATGAGCCACAGAGTCGCACAATGTCGCGTGCATCTGCTCTGGGGATATGGAATGTATTGGCAAGAGTCCTGGCATTAACATGAAATTTGTCATGAAATTGACGGGCTTGTTCCAGTGGGGACAGTATATTGAGAATCCATAGCGGGCGAGTAGCCGCATCCGCGGCCGCATTGCTCTGCACCATGGGCCCCGGTAGGTGCGTATGTGCTCTTATATGAGTGATAAACACTTTATGGTGTCTACTCGTGAGCAATGCCTGGATAGATAAGAACAAGTTTGTTACTTTAGAGGTTGGCTTGATTGGGCCCGCAGTTTCCAGGACCTGTAGGGCATTAACAACGTATTTCGAATCAGAAACAATATTGAGGGCCTCTGAAAATTTTTGGAGAACTGTTTGTACAATCAACAACTCTACCACCTGTGGTTGATCTGGTTCAAACTGTATGGTAACCGGAGACTTACCTGAGACTACATAGGCCCCTATCCCGGTTTTCGACCCATCAGTATAGATAGTTGTTGCATGAGCAAGAGGTGCGGAGGCGGTGATCTTTGGGAATATCACCGGATGTTGAGTAACAAACTGTAGTATGGGGTCCTTAGGAAATTGATTATCTATATCCCCGGGGAACACGCATCTCAAGATGGTCCAAGTATCCAGGCAGGCGGTCAGGGTCTTTATCTGAGAAGCAGTATAGGGCACCCGAATGGCATAAGGCGGGGAACCAAGATGTTGGATCGCTCTACTGTGCGCCTCCAATGCCAGAGAAGCAACTGATTCCGGGTAGTGTTCAATGACCTTGGCAGGTGAGACCTTAGGGTGCACCCACAGGAGTGGTCCCTTTTGCCAAATCACCGCCGTGGGCTAACATCTGGTCTGCAGCAAGCAGATTTCGAAAGGCTGTCCTGGGTCAATCCTCTGTAAAGTAGCTCTACTTATGGCCTTTTCAACCCTCTCTAAGGCAACCCTGGCCTCTGGGGTGAACTCTCTGGGGGAGGCAATGTCCGGGTCCCCCTTCAAGAGATCAAACAGAGGCTTTAAGTCAGAATTGGAGACATGTAAGTAAGGTCTGACCCAGTTTATATCTCCTAATAACTTCTGCATGTCATTTAAAGTGGTGAGATTATCCGTTCTGATGGTTACCTTCTGCGGAGAAACCAGAGTAGAGGAGAGTTTGGCACCCAAGTAGGTCACCACTTCTCCCCCTTGAATCTTGTCAGGGGCAATGTTCAAGTTAGCCTTTCTCAGGGCCTTGACCAGTTGGCCTAACATATCTTCTAACATTTTTGTTTCCTTTGCACTGATAAGCAGGTCATCCATATAATGAACGCATCTAATCTTGGGGAAGGCTTTTCGTATAGGGGTCAGCAAGGAATCCAAATAGATTTGACACATAGAGGGACTGTTGGCCATACCCTGAGGTAGGACCACCCATTCGTATCTGAGATCAGGGCTCTCCTGGTTAACCGTGGGCAGGGTGAAGGCAAATCGATGGGTGTCTTCCGGATGCAGGGGAATAGAGAAAAAACAATCCTTAAGGTCTATGACATAGACTGGCCAATGTCTTGGGATCGCTGAGAGTGCCGGAAGCCCCCTTTGAACTGCCCCTAAGGGTTGCATCTGCGCATTGATCGCTCTCAAATCATGGAGCAGCCTCCATCTGCCTGATTTCTTCCTGATGACAAAAATGGGGGTATTCCATGGGGAAGTCGACGGCTTTAAGTGTCCAGCTTGAAGCTGGGTTTTTATTATTTCCGTTAGTGCTGAGAGCTTCTCCTTGGGCAGGGGCCACTGAGGTACCCAAACTGGACTTGGGGACTTCCAAGTGATTTTAATCGGGGTGGGTAGGAGAACTTCTTCAGTGGCCCCTAGAAAAAACCCAGGCCATGTCTGCCTTCCTTCTTCTCCATAGGTACAGGGGAAGTCTGGCCCTGTAGGGCAGAGCCCAAGCCCTTGCCGGGGATATACCCTTGATTCTTAAGCATGCCCTTGGCCTGAGGAGAACAATTGGATGTAAGGGTGACGTCCATCTGGGTAAGGATGTCTCTCCCCCACAGAGACACTGGCAGTTGTAGGACAAAAGGCTGGAAATGACCCTGGTGGCCTTCCTCATCACACCAAGGCAGGGTTATGGCGCTAACCTGAGGAGCTGTCACCATCCCTAACCCTTGAAGTGTGTTGTCTGCTGTATTTGTGGGCCAACTAGAGGGCCAGTCCTTCTTAGAGATGATAGACCGATCGGCCCCAGTGTCCAAAAGCCCTGTAATTTTTCTCCCATTTATTCTCAATGATAACATGGGTCTTTTGTCAAGTGTCAAATGCAGCCCTTCGAAAATCCCCGACCCCGCGCCTGGTCCCCTACCGCCCCTGATCCTCTGCTGAGAGGGGAATTTTCCGTGAAGGCTGGGGAGCAACAAAAGCTGCGCTATCTTATCTCCCTCGTTAATGACCAGAGTTCCGTTAGGGGATCGGACCAGAATTTTTATGCGGCCTGTGTAGTCAGAATCAATGACTCCGGGGACAACAATGAGACCTTGCAGGGCAGCTGAAGCTCTACCCAACACCAGTCCAACTGTCCCCTCAGGCAGCGGTCCACAACATGGGGTTTCTACGATTTGGGTACCCAATTCAGGCGTTAGTATGAGTCTGGTGGTGGCACAGAGGTCCAGTCCTCCCGAGCCGAGCGTGGCTCTTGTGAGGTTTGGCTGTCTCGAGGGGACATTCTCAGGGTCCGGGGGCCCACTCCTTGGAGGGGCCCCCTCTGGCCGTTTTTTGTCTCTGATAGCTGTCTGCCACTCAAGCGGTTTCCGTCACTATCAAAGATGGAACGACAGTCCTCAGCACGGTGAGCTCCTTTCCGGCAGCGCCTGCAAATCTCCCCTCCCCCTTGGACGGATCCGCCGGAGCGATTCCTTTGGGGGCACTCACGCTTCAGATGCCCTAGCTTTCCGCAAGTGAAGCAGGCGCCTCCTTGGGGCCTCTCTCTGGCCTTTATTTTGTTATTGGTAGCCGCTGCGAGCAAGGCGGCCACACCTGCGTTGGAAAGGGGGCCCCCTATCTCCCTGCAAATTCTTATCCAGGTGTTTAAGTCCTTGTTCTTATGTGGTGCGATTGCTGCCCTGCATTCTTTAGTACATTGTTCGAAAATCAGTTGCTTGACCAGTGGTAGAGCTGTCTCCTTACTAGGGAAAATCTTTTCTGCTGCATCTTGCATTCTAGCCACAAAATCTACAAATGGTTCTGCGGTGCCTTGAACTACCTTAGAGAGGCATGCGGATGCGGTCCCAGAGCCGCTTACCTGTTTCCAGGCTCGCATTCCAATAGTATTGATCTGCTCGTAGACTGCACTGGGGTACTGCGTTTGATCTTCAGCATATTGCCCCTCCCCCGTTAACATGTCTCTGCTCCATCCCCTATGACCCCCGGCAGCATTCCTCTCTGCCTGTTCTGCTGCGTACTCAGCATACCAAGCCCTCCAATCCAGATAGCTGCCAGCTGGAAGGCAGGCCTTAGCCAATTGGGCCCAATCCCCAGGCGTAAGGGGAATAGAGCAGAGATTTTCTAGTATTGCCACCGTGTATGGAGCTTCGGGGCCAAAAGTCGTGACCGCGCTTTTCAACTCTTTTATCTGCTTAAGGTCAAAAAGCTCCCACACATTCCTACCCTGGCCTGGGGCAACTTGTATGGGGTACACTCCATAGGGGCCCACGTCTATCCCTGGTTCCGGCATCCTTGGTCCCGCCCACCATTTAGAACGCCAGAGCGAGCCATGGAAGTATCTTGAACCCCGAGGCGGCTCAGCATAGGACGGTGGCGATGGGCGGGGACCGATAGTAGCCGCCAGTCTCCTAACCTCACTCTGCGCCCCCTGGTGGCACAGTTCCTCACGGCGCACCGCCTCCGGAAATAGGTCCCAAGGTGGGGCCGAAGGTAATTTCTCCTGTCGCCAGCAGGGGTCAGCAGAGGGTTTCTCTTTTTCTCCCTCCGCGTCCCCCATTGAGATGGCGCGGAGCTCGCGTCGGAGACCCCCGTAGATGCTTTTCCTGGACTGTGCTTCTTCATAATAGGAATCAGACGAGTCCGATTCCTCCCCCCTGGGGTCTTCCTCCCGAAGGGAACCTTCCCTAGAGTTTTCAGCTTTCGCCCGTTCGAAGGCTTCTCTCACCTCTTTGATACCTGCACCATGGACAGCGGGCGGGAAACCCTCGTTTTCCTTCTCTAAGCAGGTATGTATCATCTCCCACAAGGGGCGAACGGAAGGGGATAAGTCCCCGCCGAGCTCGGCAGAGGCCAGATCCCCCCCCAACCTCTCCCATGAAGGCAAAGTCAAACGTCCCGTGGGTAGGAACCACGGGGCTATCCGGTCAATCTCGGCAATAAACAGCTCGAGAGTGGCACGACTTACCCCAAGATCTTTTGTTTTTAACAGTCTCTTAAGGGCCTTGGCTAAATCCCCAGCCTCTTTGCTCGGTAATTGGCCCATATTCTATCAAAAGATACCCTCGGGTGGCTAAGATCTGCTCACCTCGATACCTGGCGTATGTACACCAGGGGAGTTAAGAAACTTGCCCTGTAGGTGCGCGCCACCCAGGGCCCAGGCGTACTCCCAACTTACCTGGCCGACGACCTCTGCCGTGTGGTAAGCCAAAAGCGGTCTGTCTCTGCAGTACGGGGGTGATCAGCTCCCCGTACGGGCCACCAAAATGCGCCGCGCGGCCTCTGAACCCCCGACCGGCAGGGGAACTGACTCACACGACACACCAGAATGCAGAGACAGAGGTCGCGTTTATTGACTCTCCACACAGGTCGTCCCCGGAACGTTCCTCCCTGATCGGACTCTCCAGTGGGGCTCTCTCTGTTGAGTAACCCCGCGTAGTCCTCCACTCTCTATGGTCTGCGTGTCTTCTCTTCCTCTCTACCTCCTGCTCTGTCCTTATATCTATAGTCCTGTCCTATAGGGTAACAAGGCGTGGCAAAGTCTGATTGGGGGACATCAGCTGTAGCTAGGCAGAAGCTGAGGGTAAGAATACGGAAGTAGGAAACGGGCGCCATCTTGGCATCATTCGATGGGAGGGGTAATCTACTGAAGGCTTCGCTCTTTCCTACAGGCCTCATCTGCTTAGGCAGGTCCTCTGGCTCGGCTCCCGACAGGGAAGTAGAATTTTTCTTTCCTATACCACATCCCTGACATAGAATGGTCTAACAAGTATTCACTATTCAAGTGATTATACTAGGAATGACTTTCTTAGGCAGTAAATTACCTACCCATTCTTTTCCAAGAAGAAAAATATACCTGTTTTCTTCACTGTATTGACCGGGCTTTTCTTGGGTGACCTGGAATGATTGAAAGGCAGAGAAAAGGTCTGATGACCAGAATACATGCAGGGTGATGTTGATCTCAGAAGGCCTTAAGGTCTTGCATTCTTTGATCCCTTTGCCTGAATTTGAGACTAAAAAAGTATCCAAAAGTTTAAAGAAACAAGCAGGAAACCTAAAGCACATTTTCTTTTGCAGATTCTATGCAGCAGAGATTTCCATTGGATTGTTCTTTCTTCATAAAAGAGGAATCATCTATAGGTGTGTATAAAAGATCTTCTCACAGCAGCACAAAGGGCAGGTTTGCCAGGCCCTGGTGGGCTTGTAATTCTAAGACAGAGACATCAGACATGGAGATAATCATCAATCATCCCCGGGAAACTCGGGCCCATTGGCACTCACCTTTCTCTGCAGCCTTGTGGCAAGTCGGAGCTACTCTTTGATTTCTAGACCTCAAAGATTCTATATCTCATTTCTACTTTACACAAGAAGACTTGTTCTTTTTCTCCAGTGGCAGATCCTTCCTCTACATTGTATTTGGAATGCAGGTCAGGGAGCAGTGGAAACTGAATTGCTAGTATAGATACTTAGCCAAAAAAGAACGTGAGGAGAGGCAAGAGAAAACTACCGAATTACATTCTGTTAGCTGTAGGATGCTGTAGGATGCAGTGAGATTCTGATGCCAAAGGAAGAAAAATGTCTTTCAGAATTAACTGAAGAGTAAAAGAATGCTGGTAAAGGCATGATGAAGGGAGAAGTGAGGTGGTCCTAAACCCAGAATTTTGCAAACCCTATACAGAGAATAATATGTCAAATGTCTGGGATCTCTCCAAACACAGTAAGTTGGATCTCTGAGTTCATAGGAACAGCCAAAATTGAGAATCACTAATTCAGCCAATTAGTCATTTTTTCACTGTGTAAGCATCTTCCATACCAGGCTTTATATTAGATTCTGAACAAGACACAATAACTCCTGACCTTCCTCTCCAGGGGCTCAGAGTGAAAATGCCACTCAGATCCACTCCTCCAGAGTAAACAGTGATACCGTGTGGGAGGGACTCTCATGCTAACCTTCTTCCTTCCAGGGATCTGAAGTTAGATAATGTCATGCTGGATTCAGAAGGACATATCAAAATTGCTGACTTTGGGATGTGCAAGGAGCACATGATGGATGGAGTCACGACCAGGACCTTCTGTGGGACACCAGATTACATCGCCCCAGAGGTAGGCGCCCCATTTCCCCATGTTTTCTAAAAGAGCACACGCCCCGCGTGGAAGTGTGGGATCCTTAGTGAATCACTAACTCAGTGTGTGGGTCCTGGCCACCAGACAGACTCAACTAGACAAAACAGAACAAGGAAATAGGGGAGCTCATGGGACATAGTAAGCCGGCATCTTATTTCCTGGAACTTCTGTTCTGCGTTTGTGTGAGCCAAATAACTAGTGAAAGTATTCCTTAAGTGGCCACGGTCACAATAATTTAAGGGACCCTGCAGCAGCAGAGTTGCTGCTGAGACTATTCTGCCTAGAAAAGCTGGGTTAGAAGATGGTTGCCATGATGACTTTTTAGCAGCCACCAAGTAACAAGTGCTGAATGCACTCCATGGAGTTTAAGAAGAATGGATCTGTATGCTTACATAAGCAGAATGAGTCCACGATTGTATGTTATACTCTTCTGTCTTTGGTATGAACTTACCTAGGAATTGTCTTCTATTTTCTGACCCTTCCTGCATGCATTGTAACATGGGTCCTGTGTGGCCCACTCTGTGTTCCTCTACAGCCCTGGGGAGGCAGCAGGCTTTTCCCATCAAAAGCAGTAGATTCAAAGTTCATCAGCCAAAGAGCTTCTTAGAGCACTCATACTGGCTGTTGGTTTTGCACCCCATGTCTTTTCAGTGTATCCCCTCCTTGCATGTATCCCAGACACTGTGTGAACAGAGGAAAAGACAAGTTTTGAAGTCAAAGCAATGTGACCTTTACGCTTGACTCTGTTATTTACAGGCTTATTTACCCAAGTTTCTTGATTCTCTGAACTCCTCTTTCTTCAGTAGCAAGTTAGGGTTACTCCGCTTCTCCCTGTGAGAACTGAAGAGCCCAGTATTTACGTTCAGTGTGTGTTACACTGTCATTATTTGTGGCTAGTATGACCCTCAGGGGAAGTCATTTGTTTCAGAAGGGGACGCTGAGTTTTATTCCTCTCTGAGTTTTACTCTGTTGTTGTTGTTGTTGTTGTTGTTGTTGTTGTTGTTGTTGTTGTTGTTGTCATATGCCTGGACAACTTGGTAACAGACTTACTTAGAAACTCAAATTGTGAATGACAGGGCCAGAGATAACTTTTTTCCTCAAAAAGCTCACTCAATACTTTAAGGCATAACCTGAACTTAGGTTTTTTCACATGTGAAAAGTAGTACTTTTTGACACAGCATGTTTTCTGAAGACTTCTGCTGGCTGCCAGTGCTGAACAGGCCATGGCGGCTGCCAGGTGCCATAAAAGCTCAGTGACAAACATGGCAGCATCTCTAGGAATAAAGGTGGCTTTGATCTTCATCCCCACTCATACCAGGCTCCACCAATCACACAGGTGGCTTCTTGGTTTCAGTGACACCGCAGCTATCTGCTGTCCTCAGGAATGACTGAGTCCCATGGAGATGAAATTTCACATACAATTAAAGTTTTCCCAGTTGGGTAGCTTGTGTTTTTGGTTGTGGTCCTTGGTATTCATTGTAGGAATTTCCTGTTACTAACACATATTTCACAGCTTCAAGCACAAATTTAGCACAAAGTTCTAGAGTTCAGAAGTCCAAAATCAGTCTACCTGGTTAAAGTCAAATTGCTCCCAGGACTGGTCCATTCTGGAAACACTGGTCCTCACTGTTTGCATCTTGTAGCAGCTGCCTACATCCCTGGTTCCAGGTTCCTTCCTCCTCCTCTGTGCTGTGTAGCTCTCCCAGTCTTCCCTGTCTTTTTCCACTTCAACCTTGAAGCTCCCCTCTTCTCTCCCAAGGACCGTGTGATGACTGTCAGCCCATCCAGATAATCTAGGGTCATCTATTCATCTCCAGACCCTCCACTTACTCCTGAAAAGTCCCTTTTACTCTGTAAAATGGATGTTCAAAGGTTCTGAGGACTAGCATGGGAATGTCTTTGGCGAGAAGGGACGTTATTCAGCCTCCCACACTCATTCTGATGGCACTTTGTGTTGGATAATTGCCCCATCTCCCTGCCAGTGACACTCAACAGACTGCTAGCCTGGTAACTTTGTGCCTCTTTATACACAGAGAACAATGTGCTCTTGCTCAGAATCCTCTCATTTCTTTTTTTATTTTTTATTAGTACATGTTTGCAGTACATAATGTTTACACTCTTTGTTTGGAGTTGGTATGTGTACCTAATACATTTAATTCCTTTTTTCATCTCCTTTCTTCCCTTCCCTCCTCCACTTCTTAATCCTCTTCTCATTTGAGAAAGATGTGTCTCCCTCTTATTGTCTTTTATTTTGTGTTGATTTTTAATTTATTGATATTTAAGCTTATGCATCTGGTTTATTTCACTTAATATTGACTCAAGTTTTCCTTCCTTATGGCAGAGTCGTCCTCCACTGTGTGTTAAATATGTTTTTTTATTAATTCATGCTGATGGACATATAGGCTGCTTTCAAGGTTTATCTGTTATGAATTGTGTTGCTGTGAACAGGGACACGCATGTGTCACTGTAACATGATGTCTTTAACTCTTTGGGGAAGATACCTAGACCCTCCAAAATAAAAGATTCAATAACAAAAGGGAAAGTGGGATGAACAGACACTTCACGGAAGAAGTACAAATGGCCAATAAATACGTAAAGAAATGCTCAACATAACTGGCCACAAGACAAATGCCAATTAACACAGCAGAGATACCATCTTGCCCCAGAAAGAATGGCCACCATCAAGAAATTAACTAATAGCAAATCCTGATGCGGATGCAGAGAAAAAGGAACTCTTCTACATTGTTGATGGGAATGTAAACTAGTACAACCACTATGGCAATCAGTGTGGAGAGCCCTTGAAAAACTGAAACCAGAAATTCTGTGTGACCCAACACCCTCATTTCTGGAGCCTCCATTTGTCTCTTCCCTGTAAGAGCAATTATAAAGGAAGTGACTGTGTTTATTCAGTGCTGGCCATGGGCCAAACACTGTGTATACTTTACCTTGATTGTCATACCAAACCCCAAAAGCAAGGCATCCTCAGGCCCTCATTTCAGACGAGGTGACTGAGGCAGGAAGAAATGTACCGAAGGCCACATTGCTACGAAATGCCATAATTAGGCTTCAACCCCAGGCTCAGGCCATCTCCAGACCTTTGCATCACTCACTACAGGAAACTACTCAGAACCTTGGCATCTGAGATGAAGATGGCATTCTGGGTGTTCACTGTGCCCAGCGTGCTGACTGCGGGGCTGCACAAGCATCTCAGACAGGCTCCCACCTTGAGGGGTCACAGTTGGGAAGAGGGGACAGATACTCCTGCAGACAGGCAGGGACCCCAGGCCTCGTTCAGCATCCAGTTGACAAGCTGCGTTGCCAGGGGAAATGGGTCAATAAGACCTTCAGGATGTTACACTTCCTAACCTTTTATTTTTCCTTACAGCATACAGGAATTTGATATTTTTGGCCCTAAAATACTTGTAGTCTAGGAAAAGACCAAAGAGGTTTAAGGTTTCCAATTTTTCTCAAAGGTTAAAATAATTTTATCTTCTGTATAAATCCTCCTGTCCGGCAGAGGCAAAATAATTATCTTAAATGGCATTTTGCCTAATACACACAGTGAGGCTTTAAATATCTATGGCTATTAGGTCAAAACCCTTGAAATCAATTAATACTATCACATCTCCCTAACCGGTGAATACCAACTGAGGTGGCAAATGTGTTGAAACAAATGCCATGAAAGAGCACTAATCAGGGTAATTCCCGAGGTCAACAGGAAGGATTCTCTTTGCCTTGACACAGGAAGAAATCCTGGGGTCAGTGAGTCCCCAAGAAGGCTGAGCCAAGCTGCGTGTGGAGTTAGTCTTCCTCTAAAAGCTAAGTTATTTCTGGTGTGTGCTTCTGTGGTCACATACCTCTCTGTAGCCAAGAATCAGACCAGGCCAAAGCACTGTCTTCCCCTCCCTGGAAGAAGGAGAAGCAGCAAGAACAGTATTACTTTCGGCCAGTGTCACACTGGACACCCCTCGCTGCGGGGAGAGTAATGCTCGTTAAAAATGTGCCATGCAGGATCATCCTCCCAGCCTTGCTGTGGCAGTGCAATGCTAGGATATGTGCAAAGGACCCTGGTCCCCATGGTGTGCTGACTGTCCACTCTGCACCAAACCCTCTGAGCACACCTTCTTGTCACACTTTACATGTGAGCAGAAGCTCTGGGACTCACCCAAGATTACACAGCTGATAGTGGATAAAAAGGGATTTGGAGCTTTGGAGCTGAGACATTCTCACCCCATAGCCCATACATTGTTTTTAAAATTGCTTTGTCTCCTTAGTTATGGGAAAAGGCAGTGGAAAGCCAGCACTCAGCTGTAGACCATCTTTTCTTGGCATCTTAGTAGAAGATGGGCCTTGTTGTGATCAGAGACAGTCGGGACGTGGACCAGTGTTCTGGCTGTTAGTACTAGACAAGTCCCTGAGAATCTAAGGGCAAACCAGCACCCCTTACCCCCTACCCAGCACATTTATGGTTGCTCACCCAGAGCCACACCTGGGGATACGTGGCCAGAAAGGGGAGCCCAGAGGAGCCCTGCTAGGGGAGACTTGGGAAGTTAGAAACCGATGATCATAGTTTGGGAAAACACGGATTTCACGACATGGGTGCAACAGTGTTCCTCTTGGCAATAACACATGACACCTCCAACATGGCAAAATTCACTAGAGGAGAAACTTTCTGTCACAGTTGTCCACCTCAAAGCCTGCTGCCAGGGATCAGGTGGCCAATGTCTGCGAGAGCTGGGGATTTCAGACCCAGAGAACAGGAGACCTGTCCCCAGAGGATAGCTTCTGCATTCCAGTCCTCTGGGAATCACAGTTCAGTGATCCCTGTGACAGCAACCGGATAGATGCATTTTCATGTGAAACTCGTCTAATTGTTTTGGTGGCACTAATACACAGGAAAAATAAAAATTTTACAGTGAGATTCAGCCAGTGGCCTTTCACTGTGACCTCTCATCTATAGGGCTCCAGGTCTTTTTTAT